GAAAAATTCCTTGAAAGACATAAACTACTAAAGGATACTCAGGAAGAAGTGAATAGGCCTATATATAGTAAGGAAATTGAATCTGTAATTTTTCTGACAAAGAAAACTCCTTGCTCAGATGGCTTCACTGCTGAATACCAAACCTTTAAGGGAGAAATAACACCAATTCTACATAAACTCTTGCAATAGAGTAGAAGAGAAGGAAACACATCCATCTTCTTTTATGATGCCCTGATACCAAATCTAGAGAAAGATATTACAGAAAACTACAGATCAATATCCATCATGAACATGGAGGCAAAAATCCTTAGCAAAATTTTAGTAAATCAAATCCAATAATGTATTAAAATAATAATAATCAAGTAACATTTATCCTAGGAACATAACATTGGTTTAATATTTCAGTATTGATTATTGTAATTTACTATTTTAAGACTAAAAAAGAAAAAGCATAAAACAATTCAAAAGATGTAATTCAACACAATTCATGATAAAAAATCTCATTGTTTGAGGGGTAGGTAAGAACATTCACCACCTGATAGTGTGGGTACCTATAAAAAAAACCTGGAGTCTAGCCATCCCACTTACTGATAAAATACTGGATGCTTTCCCCCACAAGACTGGGAATAAGGAAAGGCTGACTTTCCCTACCACTCCAAAACAAAGTGGCAGAGGCCCTGGCTAATGTAGTAAGACAAGTAAAAGAAATAAAAGGCATATAGATTGCAAAGGAAGAAGTAAAATCTTTGATAATTCTCAACTGGTTTTCCACCCAGTACACTTGAGGAACACAATATGCTCCTCCCATTGGTGACTGCAATTCATTACCAAGGTGATTTTATTTTATTTTTTTAAAAATATATTTTATTGATTTTTTACAGAGAGGAAGGGAGAGGGGTAGAGATTTAGAAACATCGATGAGAGAGAAACATCCATCAGCTGCCTCCTGCACACCTCCTATTGGAGATGTGCCCGCAACCAAGGTACATGCCCTTGACCGGAATCGAACCTGGGACCTTTCAGTCCGCAGGCCAACACTCTATCCACTGAGCCAAACCGGCCAGGGCACCAAGGTGATTTTAATGGGGGCCATGTCTTACCTAGTACATGTGTATTGTGGGGGGAGGGGCCATAGACATGTATATACATACATCTGAAAAAAAAGCCTCGGCTGTGAAAATCCCTGCTAAGGATGCAACCTAAAGCTACAAAATGAATTAGGTCATCAAGCAAGAATTTGCAGTCAAGGGGGTCTACCTGGGAATCATACAACATAAAAAGGGAGGATTCAGAGGATGAGTAACCAGAGGAGACTGAAGGAAAGTCTCTATAGAGGTAAGAAGATAAGGGGAGTATGGTGCAGGGAAGGCAGAAAATTGGGGCAGTTCACACTTGAGACCCTCAAGTTCTTCCATCTGGGCCATCTCACTCATTTACATTCTTGCCAGGCCCCTGTTGACATTGGAGTTTGCAACTTTTAGAGGGGCTAACAGCAGTACTTGAAGCTTAACAAATCAACAGGCACTACCAAGGGGACAAAGAAGAGAAAAGCTCCCCCGTCCAGGGAAATTGCATATGTAAAGTACACGTGTGTGAAAGGGTATTATTTGGTGTGTGTGTGTGTGTGTGTGTGCATGGGAAGGAGGGAGAAGTGAGCAAGAAGAGCATGAAGGAAGCAAATGAGATGAGGCTGGGTCTTGCCATCGTCTTGAGCACGGGAAAATCAGACTTGTTTTTAAAGAGGCTCAGACAACAGCAATGAGAACTGGCTGGAAGTGGGAGAGCAGACCTCACAACGGTCTAGGCCAGTGGTCGGCAAACTCATTAGTCAACAGAGCCAAATATCAACAGTACAGACCTCACAACGGTCTAGGCCAATGGTCGGCAAACTCATTAGTCAACAGAGCCAAATATCAACAGTACAACGACTGAAATTTCTTTTGAGAGCCAAATTTTTTAAACTTAAACTATATAGGTAGGTACATTGTTATTAACTTAATTAGGGTACTCCTAAGGCTTAGGAAGAGCCACACTCAAGGGGCCAAAGAGCTGCATGTGGCTCGCGAGCCGCAGTTTGCTGACCATGGGTCCAGGCAAGGCAGGATGAGGGCGTCCAGCTGTGGGATGGGGAGGAGAGGCCTGGTCTCAGTGACTGGTCAGAGGAAGCACAAACAGGGCTGGGGAAGTAGAATGGGTGGGTGGAGAACGGTGTGGTGACAAATGGCATCTGATCACAGTATTACCACCAGCCACCAACATTCACTACACACTTCCTGTGCACATCCAGCATGTCACCAAATTCTCCCAACAAACCCAGGAGGCAGGCATGACTATCATCTCCCTATCCCCAATAGGAAGGCTCGGTCAGTTGTCCAGAAGTTCTCCCAGCTGGCACAAGATTGAGGCCCTGATTTAAGTCCAGGAAGGATGGTTCTTCAGGGCCATGCTCTTCCCGATTTGGCCCATTAGGGAAGACCATGAACATGGGAGTGAGGGATGAAGGACCCGAGGAGGAATACTGAGTTTTGCAGGGGATCAGGTCCTAAGGGGAAAGTTCTTTTCTTCAGGCTGGAGAAGTTAACTTTGAGTCTAACTACACAGGTGGAGCTGAGCCGTGGAAGGGAATGAGAGCAGGACACAGCTTGGGGAAGACCACTATGTACGAAGTAAGTGGGAGGAGAGGCAGGAGTGAACAAGGTTATGAACATAGGAAGAGAACTAGGAAAGACACAGAAGTTTTAATTCTAAGACATCCTGTGATGTGGGAGCCTTCCCAGATCTCCAGGGGCTGCCTCACCAGCCTCCTGGCTACCCCTCCAACATGCCCTCCCCGATGCTACTCACCACCCTTGATACCAGCTAGTTAACTTCTGCTCTTCAAAAACTATTTTTCCTTAAACTTTCTATTGAAGTATTATCCACTCATTTTTTCAATATTTAAATGTAAGAGTTGCCAAGTGTTCAATACCTTCACTGTTCCACTAAGAAATCAGTTATTCCTTAAGCCTAGGTTAGGCCCCTTATATGCTCTCACTCATTCCACACTTTCTTGTAGCACAGAAAGTGGTCAAATAAATCACTTCCTGTATACAAGTTACAGACTGTTTCTCCTACTTACAAGTCCATGAAGGCAAGCACCAAGTTTATCTACACCAGGGGTTGGCAAACTTTTTCTGAAAAGGGCAAAATAGTAAATATTTTCAGCTTTTCGGACCATAGGGTCTTAGTCACAACTATTCAGCTCTGCCACGGAAGTCCCAAAGCAGTGGAGACAGTATGTGAATGAATGGGTGTAACTGTGTGAAAGCTTTATTTACAAAAACAGGAGGTGGGCCAAAGGGCCATGGTTTGTTGATCCCAGGTCTGTCATCAGCAGCCAGTTTAGCATCTGACATATACTGGTAATAGGCACTTAGTGAACGAATAAAGAAAAAAAAAACACTTAGTGAATGAAAAAAGAAAGAAAAGCCATTATGGTAGTTAGACAGGAAAGAGTCGGTACTCAGGGAATGTGGTTTTAGTGGAATGGTGGAGGTGGAATTGAGATAGCAGTGGTTTGAGGAGTGAGCAGCAGTTGCGGAAGTAGTAACTTCTCTTTCAAGAGCTCCACAATTTGAGCGATAGGCTTGGGTACTTATACTATCTTCATAGAGCAGGCACATTAGGAGCGTGTTTGCATGCTACGAGAAAGCAGGGCTGGGAGAGAACTGATGAATAGGGGGACTTCGGGGCGCAGGTGTGTGGGCGGTTGGTCATGAAGGAGGAAGACACCTCCTGAGGCTGAGGAAACAAGGAAAGGTGGAAGGAAATAAGGGGAAAGCCTTGTACAGTATTCCCTTCTCCTGTGAAATGTGAGCCAGGACCATTTGGTGAGGAGAGGGGATTGAGGAGGTTAGGAACCCCACACTCGTCAGACTGGGAGGGCTGCAAACAGAGAGGAGTGGAGGCCCAGGACAGGGCTTCGAGCTGCACAACTACTGGAAACACACCCTTTATTTTTCTCATTTGAAGGAGCTCTCGGGTACTTCAGACCTGTGTTCGCAGGTCTGACTAGGTGTCAGGTGTGTCACTCACTGAGTCACCAGCTCTCCTTGCTATCACTTCCTGTCCCTTCACTGTCCCATGCAGGTAGCAACAGGCAGGCCCTGAGGACAATGAGGTCATGCTTTAAACATGCTGTAAACAGTTCTTTTCTGAAGGATACTGAAAGGCATTTGAATTTTGGAGAGTTGGTGGTGGTTTCATCTCCAGGCCTTCATATGTGTATGTACATGTAGTAAGATATTTCTCTACCGGGCAGATCAGCCTTTCTCTTTAAACGGAAGAAACCATTTGATGGGGGATTTGCAGTAAAAATAGCATAACAGCTCTTTAGTTTCCCAAGCCTCACATAGTACTAAAACCTATAAAACACAACTCACAGAGACAGTATTAATAGTATGATATCTGAATACCCTGAGAAGTTTTCTCTAAGTCAAACACCAATCGCTAGTCAGTGTCACTTATCCAAAGAATCAGATACCCTAAAAAAACCTTACATTTCAACATTCGTTTATCAATTCAGTAATACTACTAGAGCAAGAACGCATGAGTAGGGTTCGAGCCCCATTCTCCTACTTTTCAGGAAGTATGAAAATCATCTAAATACCTGTTGGTTGACATGCCTGAAAAGACAGTATCAGAAACCAGACCCATTTTCACCTGCCCTATTTCAAGGTGTAACTGCCGCTGAGATATAGACTGAAGGTTCTACGTGTATTCGGAACGTTAATTCATACTTTCGCTTTTAAGCCTTCACTCCTCACAAGCCAAAAGGTAATTTTCTTTAAACACAGCAATCCTCACTGTATCTTTTCCAAGACCTTCCTGAGACGACGGAACCAACGTCTCTGAGTTTGCTAGTGCGGGCAATCGAGAGGCCCGCGCCTGGGGCGCACGCTTTATGCGGAAGGGCTTCTGACACATGGCGAGATGCATATTCAATAAACTTCATCTCTTACCCTATAGTTGGGTTGATGTTCGGATCAAAGCTGTCTTCCACGAACCGCCATACGATACTTGATTTGCCCACACCTGTGTCCTGGAAGAGAGGGAGACGGGTGAGTGCGGTTTGCCTGCCGGCAGACCTGAACACGACCTTGTGTCCTAAGTTCGGGATTTCAGAAAATGCACCCCGGACACGTTTCAGAAGTTAGGGGACCCAAAGGGGAGGCTTCCATAAAGATTCACTGGGAGCCATGAAGGGATCTCAAACGTGTTGCAGGAGAGGGGTTTTGCAGTTGTTAAGGCTTTAGGACCTTTCGAAAGACCCCAAATTTCTGATTCTTGTGAACAGCGACGAACTCACTGGCTTTTTAAGTGTAGAAAGTAAACGGGGAACTCTGGCATGACTTCTGGGTCGTCCCGGACAGGTCCCGGTCCCGCCCCGCCCGCTGCCGGGGAGGGGAAGGCTCTTTGGGGAACCCTCGGGGGTGTGCAGGGGAGCAACCCCGGAAAGCGCGCTCGGAGGCGGCGCCGCTGCCCAGACGGGACGGGGAGCGGCCGCTTCACGGTCCCGCAGGCAAGGAGGTGCGGGCAGTGTCAGGGCGAGCCCGCAGGTCCCCCAACACCGCACGGCCGGCGGGGCTGCTCCCGCGGCGCCAGGACCCCGCGGGCCGGCTGCGGGCTGGACTGGAGGAGACTTGGCCAACTTTAACTGGCACCTGAGCGGGAAACGTCTTAACCAGGGGCGACGGGGCGGGAAGAGACCTCGGGCTCCAGCACGGACGGAGGGGGGGGGGGTCCCTCCGGCCAGCAGGACCCTCAGCACTGGGTGCAGGGAGGGTCCCGGCAGGAAGGCGGTGTCCCGCGCGGAGGCGGAGGGCAGGGGCGGACGGGACGTGGGCGCGCCGGGTCCCCGGCCCTCCCGGCCTCCCGCGGCCCTCCCGGCTTCCCGCGGCCCTCCCGGCCAGCTCGCCGCTACTCACCCCCAGCAGACACACTTTGAGCTCCCGCAGCGCCATGGCCCCGGAGCCTGGGCGCGGGCCCGCCGCCGCCCTAAGTTGAGGAGGGCCAGGCCAGGGCCCGCACGGGCATTCCCCGGCGCCGCCGCCGCTCGGCCCAGCCCCGGCCGCCGGGCGTGCTGACGCAGCGGCCGCCCGTTCGCCGGCCCTCGACCCCGGCCCGTCCGCCGCCAGCCGCGCGAAACCCGCTTCAGCAGCCGGGACGGTGCCTCGGCCTCCCGGGCGCCGCCGCCGCCGCCATCTTGGGACGCCGGCCGGGTCACCTGACCTCCCCGCCCACCTCGGCAGCCACCTTCGCCGCGAGGGCGGGGCCCGTCCGGCGCCGCGAGGCTCGTGGGGAGCGGCGGCCCTGGGGGCGTGGCCGGCGGCAAGGGGCGTGGCTAGGACCGTGGGCCCCGCCCCCCCGGACCACGCCTCTAGGCCCATCCCAAGATGGCGGGTAAGTGGGGTCAAGCTCTGGGGGCGCCGGGGCACCCCTTCCTCCTCAGCGGCGCCCACCGGGGGGCCCGAGACCCGCCAGCCGCTGCGCCCGCCGTGCCGCTCCCGCTAACCCCGTGTCTCTTGTTTGCAGAGGTCCCCCTGTACTTTGTGGACTTGCAGGATGACTTAGACGACTGTAAGTAACAGTTGGGGCGCCCCCGCTCCTCCCGGGCAGCGTCTCTCAGAATTCGGGGCGCACAGAGTGCGTGCAGGGTGCTACAGGCCGGACCCTTTCTGTGGGGCCCTAGGAGTGGGACCCCCAACTGTCTTGATCCGCTGGTGGCGGCCCCTCCTCACTGGGCGGGGCGGCCGAGGATGGGGAGCCTTCCCCTCGCGGGTAGGAGTTTGGTTGTTGGGAAATTTCTAACTTCCTGTCACTTTCTTTCTCTTCTTCTTCCTCCTCCTCCTCCTCCTCCCCCTCCCCTTTCTCCCGCCTCCTTTGCTCTCCCTCCCCCTCCTCCCCCTCCTCTTCCTCCCCCTCCTCCCCCTCCTTTCCTTCCCCTCCGCCTCCTCCTGTGGCTGCTGCCAGGGATGGGCGGGAAGAGGGTGTGTCCCCCCCCCCCCCCCCCCCGGGGTCTCCACTTCCTACGTGGGACTCCTCAGTGCCGGGGAGCTGAGAGGTCCCGCTCTGCGGGTGGCCCCGCGGAGTTGCGCCGGCTTCGCAGGTGTCCTGGGCACCGGCCCGCCTCCTCTCTGGTCCCTCATTGATCACTGGCGCCTGCGTCCTGCCCCCACCTGTCCTCTCATTTCCTCTCGCATCCCTGTGAGGGCTGATGGCTGGGGGAGAGGCCATCCTGGAAGGGCAAGCTCACCTGTGTGGGAAGGCAGCTTTCCTCTCCGTTCAGCAAACGTTTCTTGAGCACCTGCTTGTTCTGGACCTACATAGATGAACCAGAACAGGAGAGCTCTCAGGAAGCCCCCAGTCCAGTGGGAGAGCAGAAAATCAACTCATTCGGGCGCTCCCTGGTGAAGGGGGCCTGTGCAAATTGCCAAAGCAGCTAACCTGCTCTTCCCTTTCCATCTCCAAGGTTCCTGATAATAAGAGTTGGTGTTTATGGTTTAAATGGTTTCGGCAAGTTATCTCTTTTAGAGGGAGGCAAGTTTTAAAAAGTACAGTGCTACTCGAAGGGGCACAGAAGGCCGTGGTTAGGAGCATGGCTTCTGGAGTCAGATGCCAGAGGGGGAAATCCTGTTCCACTCTGAGCCTCAGTGGCCTCATCTATAAAATGAGCATATTAGTGATCCAAAAGGGCTTTTGTAAAGGTTAAATTAATAAAAGGTTTAGTGTGAAGCCTTGTAAGTAACACTTGGTAAATATTAGCCGCCATTATTACTATCATTACTATAGTTGTTCATATTATTTTTAGTAATTCTTCATTGTTGAAAGTATTACATATGTCCCCATTTCTTCCCCATGTGCTCCCTCCAGCCTTCCTCTGCCCCAACCCCAGACAATCATCACCCATTGTGTCCATGGGCCATGAATATATTCACACAGATTCCTTGGTTGATTGCCTCCCACCCTCCCCCGCCTCCCCTCTGAGATTCCGCACTCTGTTCCATGATTCCATGTCTCTGGATCCATTCCGTTCATCAGTTTATTTTGTTACTTAGGTTCCACATATGAGTGAGATCATGTGATACTTGTCTTTCTCTGACCGACTTATTTCACTTAGCATGATACTCTCAGGTCCCTCCATGCTGTCTCAAAAGGTAAGAGATCCTTCTTTGTTACTGTTGCATAATACTCCGTGCTATAAATGTACCACAGCTTTTTTATCCACTCATCTACTAATGGGGCACTTGGGCTGTTTCCAGATCTTAGCTATTGTAAATTGTGCTGCTATGAACATATGGATGCTTAGATTCTTTCTGATCGGTGTTTCAGGTTTCTTAGGATATATTCCTAGAAGTGGGATCACTGGGTCAAATGGCAGATCCATATTTAATTTTTTGAGGAAACTCCATTACTGTTTTCCATAATGGCTGCACCAGTCTGCATTCCCACCAGCAGTGTACTAGGGTTCCCTTTTCTCCACATCCTTGACAGCACTTGTCATTTGTTTATTTGTTGGTGGTAGCCATTCTGATAGGTGTGAGGTGATACCTTATTATTGTTTTAATTTGCATCTCTCTTATAATCAGTGATCTTGAGCATTTTTTCATGTCTCTTTGCCATCTCTATGTCCACTTTGGAGAAGTGTCTAATTAGATCCTTTGCCCATTTTTTAATTGGATTGTTTGTCTTCCTTCTGTTAAGTTGTATGAGTTCCTTATATATTTTGGATACTAACCCCTTTATCAGATGTGTGGTTGCAGTGGGCTCCCTTTTTGTTTTGTTGATGGTTTCTTTTGCTGCACAGAAGCTTTTTATTTTGATGTGGTCCCATTTGTTTATTTCTTCTCAGTTTCCTTTGCCCTAGGTCACAGTGGTTCTCAACCTTCTGGCCCTTTAAATACAGTTCCTCATTGTTGTGGTGACCCCCAACCATAACATCATTTTCGTTGCTACTTCATAACTGTAATGTTGCCACTGTTATGAATCGTAATGTAAATATCTGATATGCAGGATGGTCTTAGGCGATCCCTGTGAAAGGGTCATTCGACCGCCAAAGGGGTCACAACCCACAGGTTGAGAACCGCTGCAGGAGATGTATCCATAAATATATTGTTACTAGAGGCCCGGTGCACAAAAATTTGTGCACTCGGGGTGGGGGGGAGGGAGGGTCCCTCAGCCTGGCCTGTGCCCTCTCGCAGTCTGGGACCCCTCGGGAGATAACGACCTGCTGGCTTAGCCCTGCTCCTGGGTGGCAGAGGGCAGGCCCAATCCCTAGGTGCAGCCGCTGGTCGGGTTCAGAGCAGGGCCGATTGGGGAGTTGGGGCGCCGCCCCCTGTCATGCACAGAGCAGGGCGGATCGGGAGGTTGCGATGCCACCCTCAGTCACACTCAGGGTAGGGCCGATTGGGGGTTGGGGCACCTCCCACTGTCACATTCAAGGCTGGGTCGATGGGGAGGTTGTGGCGCCACCCGCTGTCACGCACAGAGCAGGGCCAATCAGGGGGTTGGGGAGCTCCCCCCTATCAGGCACAGAGCAGGGCTGATCAGGGGGTTGGGGCGCCTTCCCCTGTCACGAACAGCAGGGCGGATAGGGAGGTTGTGGCCCCGCCCCCTGTCACACACAGAGCTGCAGGGCGATCAGGGGGTTTGGGCGCTGCCCCCTGTCACACTGATCCCGGTGCCGGGAGGCCTCTCGGCTCCGCTTATCCCAGTGCTGGGAGGCCTCGCAGCTCCACTGATCCCGGTGCTGGGAGGCATATTACCCTTTTACTATATAGGATAGAGGCCTGGTGCACGGGTGGGGGCCGGCTGGTTTGCCCTGAAGGGTGTCCTGGATCAGGGTGGGGGTCCCCGCTGGGGTGCCTGGCCAGCCTGGGTGAGGGGATGATGGCTGTTTGCAGCTGGTCACACACCCTTCAGGGTGGGGTCCCCACTGGGGTCCCTGGCCAGTCTGGGTGAGGGGCTGAGGGCTGTTTTCAGGCTGACTGGTGACTGAAGCTCCCAACTGCTCCTTTCTTTCTTTTCTTTTTTTTTTTTTTATTCTGGGCCAGCTTTAGCTCTGGCTCCAGCTCTGAGGCCTCTGCTGCTGAAAGTAGGTATCTGGTTTTTTTGAGTTCTATAATCGAAACACTGTATCAACTCCAGCTCTGAGATCCCTGCGGGCTGAAAGCAGGTTTCTGGGGTTTTGTTTAGCTTCTATATTTGTAACAATGTTTCAAACTGCAAGCTCAGAGGCCGGCAAGGCAGGCGGGGAACGTTGGGGTCCTCCGTCACTGAAGCAAGCCAGCCTCATGTTCGCTTCAAGCTGCCTGGCTGCCAGCCGCCATCTTGGCTGGCAGTTAATTTGCATATCTCGCTGATTAGCCAATGGGAAGGGTAGCGGACGTACGCTAATTACCATGTTTCTCTTTTATTAGATAGGATGAGAGATGTCTGAGATTTTGATTCCTATGGTTTCTTCTAGAATTTTTATGATTTCACGACTTACATTTAAGCTTTTTATCCATTTTGATTTATTCTTGTGTATGGTGTAAGTTGGTGGTCTAGTTTCATTTTTTTGCACATATCTGTCCAATTTTCCCAACACCATTTATTGAAGAGACTGTCTTGACTCCATTGTATGCTCTTGCCTCCTTTGTCAAATATTAATTGAGCGTAATGGCTTGTGTCAATTTCTGGGTCCTCTGTTCTGTTCCATTGCTTTGTATGCCTGTTCTTGTGCCAGTATCAGGCTGTTTTGATTATGGTTGCTTCGTAGTATAACTTGAAATCTGGTATTGTAATTCCTCTAACTTTGTTCTTCATTCTCAAGATTGCTGTGGCTATTCAGGGTCTTTTTTGGTTCCATATAAATTTTTGGAATATTTGTTCTAGATCTGTGAAATATGCCATTGGTATTTTAATAGGGATTGCATTGAATCTGTAGATTGCCTGTAGATTGGACAGTATGTACATTTTAATGATGGTGATTCTATGAATCCATGAACATGGTATATTCTTCCACTTGTTTATATCTTCTTCTATCTCTTTTTTCAAGTCCTGTGGTTTTCCAAGTACAGGTCTTTTGCCTACTTAGCTAAGTTTATTCCTAAGTATTTTAATTTTTTGTTTCAATGATAAACGGGATTGCTTGTTTAGTTTCTCTTTCTGAGAATTCATTAGTGATGTTTAAAAAAGCATTCGATTATTGGGTGTTGATTTTGTATCCTAC